GGAATGTCTAGGGCTATATCAGTCATAGACAAGGTCAAGGTTATAGGTATGCCTCAGCTTAGGTGGCCCACTAGATCACTCTATAGTGGTTAAGGCATGCTGATTTCTGTAGCTGACAGCACACAAGGAGTGAGTGATACAGACAGTGTCACACCTGGCTGTGTGTGACACCCCAGCCCAAATGCCTGGTTACCCACCTCCAAGGAGGTGGAGTGTGGTTGCCCCTTGCTGCAAGTCTGAAGTGAGACTCATGACTTCCACAGAAGCTGCAGAGAAGCCACTGTGTAAACTACTTCTAGCAACTCCGGTCACAAAAGGACATACTTAGGATACAATCTCTGTCTTTTGATATTTAACATCCTGGGCATGTCTACATGTGTATTTTAATTTCATTAGCCTATTTTAATGTTTATTAAAGCATCACAAAATTAACCGTGTTCATAATAATTTCACTAATGCGCCTTTTCCTAGTACCTCACAATGGAGGTACTAAATTTAACGCACATTAGCAAAAGCACATTAATGAACGTGTAGACGCATCCCATTACTCTACAGTGGCTCTCATGCATAGAATCACAACAAGGATGCATATAAACACTGCTTTTTCACAGGGTAACTGAGCCTATTTGAGAGCTGTTAGGACCTTCTCTCCACATATAGCTTTTTGAAAGCATCTCTAGTCATCTCAATGAGTACAACAGTCAGCCTGTGTGTGTGTTATATTAATAAGGAAATAGTCTGATGCTATTGGCTGGATGTATATCACACACCCAGTACAGTAGGAGTTTATTTAAATGTCTCCTACTAAAATATGCTGAAACGTTCAGTAAAATAGAATTGTAACAACAATACCTGAGAGAGAAGGGGGAGAACCAACAGGAGTTGAAGGATTTGATGAAAAGCTGTTGTTGGTGTGATCTGGAGAATAGATCTTTAAAAGATGATAAAGAATTAATCTAAAGCCATCACAAACTGATGCAGAAAGAAATATGGAATTCTCATGTATTTAGTCCATTTAAATGAAAGGACAGGTTAAAAAAACCTATTATTTTAATAATAAATATTTTTATAGACAAAACTGTGTTAGATGTAGGAAGCCAGACAACAGATTCCTCTTAACTGAAACATCTTGATGGAAATACAAACTTGCCAATTAAGTGATGGTTTGATTATTCCAGGCTCTTTAGAGAGAAACTTTGGTGGATGTGTACATTTTTATTTCACAGAATGCTTTAAGAATAAGCATCACAGTACCGAGTCTTAAAGCACTTCTGGAAACTGCATTCTGGTAAGATCAAATCCTTTAACAGCCAAATCAGAGCAAAGGGAACAGAGGACTGCACAGTGAGTAATTTGTAACAGCAAACACCAAACACTTGTCAGTTATTATGATGAGCCAAGACTAGGTGTGTGCTACTGAAATGAGCAAGGTGTGCCATTTAACAGCTGCTTTAAGTCACTGATATGCAGTGCACTGACTTTGCATCCTCGTGTTTGCCTCTATTAATCATGCATGCCAGTTATCAGGGCACCACTTAAAAGTGTACTGTACTGTATCAATTACCTCAGGCAAACAATATTCTTATTTTTTGTCTTTTTTATGAAGCATCAGTAGTATATGTATAAAATCAACTCTCATGAGAACTCAATGGAACCCACTCTGCCCAGAAAATAACTAAAGTGGTCCTTATTAGAAAGCCAGCATATTCTCAGCATATTCAGCTGCTGCTGCATCCTGATATCTGAGGGACAGCAACATTTCCCGGTACTTAGAAAATGATATACCACAGTGACCACTGGGAGATAATAGCTGATTAATGCTGGCTTTTAATAGCAACCATCACTGTATGAATAGGTGGAACTAGTGTGGAAAACATATCTGAAGGCAAAATAAAAATCAAGATGAATCTTGTTTGCTGATCAGTTGATAATCCTGCCACTGATTTCTGTGAACCCCCCCTGCTCTCTTTGCTAAGTAAAGTGTGTGGAATATTGAAGGATAATGACTCGTAGTCACTAAGTGATCATGAGCAATATAAGCTTTCTAGTCATTTAATTTGTGTTATGTTATAAAATTAACTCTAAAACTTTTAAACACAATTTCACGTTGATCTTTAAATATTTCAATTGGCAGTAACTCAACACTGATGACCTCTGAGATCAAATCTCTCCTGATTGCTCTTCAACTTCTTGAATTCCAGGCATCCATTTCTGATTAAAGTTCACACTTTGAAAATGGTAAGCGTTATTCCAAAGTAAATATTTCCTTACAGAGGCAAGCGCTTTCCCCAGTGCATCACCAGTCTGCGAGCTGCCTGCTGCCCCACTTCCTCTGTTTGCTGAAAAACAAAAGATTTAATGTAAAAATAGACAGTAAGACATCTCAGTTTTCTATTCCTGGTCCACTTACTCATAATTTAATTGCATTTTAATGCTAATTACATCACATTAATCTTTAATTAGCATTAATTTGTTTGCTAAGGTAGGTATCAAACATATTCATGTTCTATTTTTGCAGATAAAATATAAACTTGACATCTTTTTTTTTATATACTGCATATTTGATACTACTTGGCCATATGGCTTTATTTTTTTCTAAATGAAGGCTGGCTAATAGTAGAAGATGCTCAGAGATATGAAAGATATGAAGTTCAAATCTAGACAAGCCTATGTAATTTGTAGTCTTTTGTTCAGAAATGACTACTTCTCTTTATCCTCTAATAGTGACTTACACTTGCTACCAATCAAGCTTATAGTATTTGTGTTCTAAGTCATTCTTAATTAATGTTATTATAATACTTTAAAGAGCCTTTCTTCCTCAACTATCTTCCTGTACTTTTGTTACAAGGGTAGTATACACATATTACACACAAAAAACTGTTAGAAGAACATTATTAAGATTGCAAGGTCAAGCACACTGAAATTAAGAAATGCCAGAATTAAGATTGTGTAATTTCATTTAGCTCCCTTGTGCATTATAATTCAGTTTTTAATTACATGATCATACATTGTTTTTTCAACATGACCCCTGCACCTCATTTAGTGAACAGTATGGACAGCACCTAACTAAGGAACATTTTCTGTTTTATTTTCAGTGCGCAGTGTGTGGCTCTTATTTACTGAACATTGTTCAAGCCCTGCTCTGAAAACAGTATTATTAATTTACATGTGGGTTTTCAGTGGTGTTCATCACTATAATATCTGAGTGCTCCATGAATATTAACCAATTTATTTTTACAACACCCCTGTGAAGTGAGGAGGTGGTGTTATCTCCAATATGCAGATGGAGAACTGAGGCACAGGGAGATTTGGGTCAACATTTTCCACTAATTTGGGGAACCCAATTTGAGAGGCGGAGGATTTAAGTCTTCGAAGCACTTAGCATCACATGACATTTTCTGTGTTTAAAGCACAGTTCTGATCAACTTCAGTTGCATCTGCGAATGTTCAGTACTTCTGCCTCCAGGGTCTCAAATTAGGCACCCAGAAAATGAGGAACACGTGATTAGTGACCACCTGTGAAAAGCTTGGTTTATTACACAGGTATTCTGTAGCTGAAGAAAAATAGAAGCCAGTTACTCTGGGCAGCATTTTACTACTTTAGTTATGAGAGATACCTCTCTTGTCTTGCTATCTCCTGCACTATTCTCTACACAACCTCCAGCCTCTAGGGAAGATATCCTACAGACAAACACCTTCACTACACAAGCTCAACTTATCTCCTGTGCAGTGAAGGAGGCAGGGGCCCTTCAAATATGTGAGTGCTTTCTAGTAGTCACAGACTTCTGCCCACCTGCCCAACAAGGTCCCTTCGTCCTACCAGCTTCACCCTGTCCCTATCTTAGCTCAGTCTTCTTGTCCCAGCCTCATTCACTTCACCAGCCAATCCCAGTTTCCACTCTTCACACTTCTCCTCCCAATCCATTTCTGACCTCTTGGCCAGGGAAGTTCTAGTCTCACCAACCACACCGCCATGTCCCTTGCCCATCCATTCAGTTTGCTCCCATTCCTCACCCAACCTGTCTTTGCCACAATGACTCCAATCATCTCATATCCTTTCCATTTCCTTTTCCTGACTGGTTCTCAGTTGCCAAGTCTTTCTCTCTCTTCAGGTTTTTATAGCCTCAGTGTCCCATATCTCTACCCTTCTGTCTCACTATCTTTGCACAGTCAGTCCCAGTTCTTCCACAACTCAGTGTCTCATCATATGTCTCTTTTTCCACTCATTGCTTTTCCTTTTAACCTACTGATTCTCAATCTTGGTCTTCTTGCCCAGGCAATCTTCATCTACCCCATCCCCAATTCCTAATTTAGTTTTCCTTAGTGCTGCCAGACTCTAGTTTCTGTCATCTTGTCAGGCTTCTTGTCCCAAAGTACTCCCGCCCCCATCTCAATCCACCTGCGTATCTGGCTCTTGTCTCCTCTGAATTCGAATGAAGCAACTTCCTCATTCTCACTGCCTCAAGCTACAAGGGGAATTCAATGAGAAACAACAACAAAAAACCCCAGGCTCTCTGCTATCTACCCAAATTCAGAACCAGATTGGCCTCCAGGAACTCAAAGCTACAACTGCAGGGTAAGTTTTCTTTACCCCCGGGCTAGTATATGCTCCATATGGACAGAATCCTCTGGGAATTTAGCAGCTAGAAGATAAAATGTCTTTACTGAGGATTTAATGACTGCAACTTCTTTAGAGCCTCGCAACCTGTTCAAATTTAGACATTTTTGTGGAGACAGCAAGAGGCACTTTCCTGACAGATCCATCACCCTTCTGCCAAACTTTAAGTTCCTGCTCCAAAGCACGGGGCATTGGAGCTTTCCAAAGGAAAATATTGCCTCAGTTTTTCAAGTTGGATAAAACAACATATTTTCCTTAAGTCTCATTCTCAGAAATAGCTAGTCCATTTTGGTTTGTTTTTTTTTTAAACCCCACACCAACAGAAACTTCAGCCTGAGGCATATACCCAGCTTAGAAATTCCAACCCAAATGGTTGAAAACTGGTAAAGATATAAGAATCTGAAAACAGAATCCTAGAATGGGAAGTCTCGAACAACCTTAATAATAGGAGGCACTAGCAGCTCCTTCTATAGAAGAATCACTAAATAGCATGAATCTACTGGCATACTCAAAATAAATGGGAAAGGGAAAATAGAGCAGATTAAGATGAGCACATCAAATAGACTCTTTTTAGTATCTCTTTTAAATGACAAGTGATAACAAACGGCAGGATACCCAATTAACTATTACAAAAGAATGAGTCAATTTTGTTGGGAGCTGACCCAGAATTTGAGGTCAGCCCAAATTTTAGACCACTAAACACTCCTCAGAGTGTTCTCAGACACAAAACACTCATTATATTAAAAGTGGTAAAAACCAAGGCAGACTGTAAGGAAGTACAGAAGGATCTGGCATGATTGAGTGAGGGCAACCAAATGGCAGATGCAATTCAATGTATGCAAGCGAAAACTAATGCACCTAGGCAAAAATAACCCCAACTATACCTATGATGGGCTCTATATTAGCTTTTGCCACACAGGAAAGAGATCTGGGAGCCATTGTGGACAGTTCACTAAAAACATCGGTTCTGTGCTCAGCAGCCATTAAAAAAACCAAAAAAAATGTTAGGAATTATTAAGAAGGGAATTGTGAAAAAAATGAAAAGATCCAAGCATCCACACCTTGAATACTGTGTCCCCCAAAAATCCACACCTTGAATACTGTGCCCCTTGAATACACCTCAAAAATAGTACAGAAGAACTACAGAAGATATAGAGAAGGGCAACATGAATGATTAGCAGTATGGGATGGTCCCAGATGAAGAGAGACTAAAGAGGCATACCCAGTTTAGAAAAGAGATGCTTGAGGGGAGATATGATAAAGGTTTACAAAATGCTAGATGGTGAAGAGAACGTAAGAGATTATTATTATGTACTATCTCACACAATACAAGAAGTAGCGGTCACAAAATTCAGCTAGAACAAAAGGACATTCTTTTTCACACAGCATGTAATTAATGTGTGCAACTCATTGCCACTAGATGTTGTGGAAGCTGACAGTTTAGCTAGATTCAAAAAGGATTTGGTCAAATTCTTGTAGGAAAGGGGCATCAGTAGCCATTGAGCATGGGAGTTAGGGACACAGTCCCTGAATTAGAATTTCCTAGACCTTAAATGCGGAAGCTGCCAATGAGAGAGGAACAGTGGAAACCCCCTGGTCATACCCAGTTCACTCTCCCTTTCCCTCCACTCTCTGCCACTGTGACACAGGATATTGGGCAAAATGGGCCTATGGCCTGAGCCATTCAGATTCTTATGTTCTTATATCCCTTCCACAAATGAGATGAAAAAAGGCAACGAGGTCTTCACATTAGCATTTGAACTGACAGTAAGCAAGATACTGAGAGTGAGATTTATTGGAGCCTACCAAAACCTTTAAATTATTCTACTCTCTTCCACATGAAAGAAAACTACATTTCAGCTGATCAATAATTCATTTTCATAGGAATATAGGTGAAAAGGAAAAGTATATGAAACAGTTAAGCTCAGGAGGTTCCACCTCTTGATTATCATGACTGTAAGGAAAGAAGGTTTTATAACCTTACACTGTGAAGTGGAATTTGCCCTAAAACTCCTACACATCATGAGAAACCCCTCTGCTCCCCTCTCTCCCCCCACAAAAAAAACCCCCAAACAGGCTCCTTCCTTATGATCATGGGATAACAACTGACCCATCACTAATACAAGTCTGGATACTTACCTCAGAAGCTCTATCATCTTGCCTGGACCCTAAACTCCCTATCATTAACTCTCATGCACATTTCCCACCAGAAGACTCCCATATTAGACTGCTGCAAAGAGCAACAGCTTTCCACTACAGCCCTTTTACAGTTTGGAAATGTCTGCAGAAGGACTTTCATAAGCCAGATGATTTAGATACTGCTTCCCTCTGTGTGTGTCCTCTGTGCGATTCTATAGGCTTTAGTTCTACCACCCCTGAATGAGTGGAGACGAAGAAATAAACCTGTACTTGAACATGCATACTAGGATATGCCCTTGGATACAATGGTGAAGTAGCTGGATAGATAAAAGAAGCAATGCATAGTCTAAAGCATTAGGCATTTGCAAAAGTGTGTTTTAACCTCTGCAGAATGGAAGATGAACATATATTAAATCCTTTAAAAACCATATAGAGCAATTTGAGCCTCTTTCACCTTACACAGATCTGATTTAAAAGAGAAATTTGCATTCAAGAGTAATACAAAAGAAAAAGAATACTTATAGAAAAGTTAAACAAATTAGCAAGAACTGCAGATATTTGATTCAGAATCCTTGTTTCTTG